ACAACAAACAAATTCCGATTTGAATTCCAAAATTGTGGAAGTAGAAGATTGTGCCCTAATTCTAACTAATAAAATCAAAAATTTAGAATCAGAATTGGATGTGTTGAAATCGATAGAAGATGTTGAAACAGTTGAAAAATTAAAGGAAAATATAAAACAACTTGAAGTTCAGAAATTAGGATTGGAAGAGGCGAATGAATCATTTATGGAGGAACAAAAGAAAGTTGATTTGAAAATTGATTCGTTGTTGGTTCAATTGAAGTCTGCAGGAAATCACGGAAGTCAAAGTGCAATTTATCTTGCTGAATTGAATGAAAAATTGTTGGTACTCGAAGATCAAATAAAAAATTTGAAACGAAGATCAATAATTAATCTTAAAGGTGAAATAAAGAATGGCAATGATGATGATGGTAGCACGCCAGAAAATTCTTTAACATGTAATCATAATAAATTGATTAATGGTCTAAATGAAAAGATATCATTGTTGGAAGAAGTTAATGGAGAAAAATCAAGCATGATAGAAACATTAAAAGATTCACTTGATGACAATCAAACGATGCTAGAAGAGGCACGAGAAAAATTAGATGAATTGCGACAAGAGAAAACAAGGTTAGAGGAACGAATCACCAGTTTAGAGTCACAATTAGAACAAACGACAGAGCAATATGAAAAAGTCAAGAATTTTATTGAAGAAAAACGAAATATGGAGAGTGCTTTAGAACAAGAGAGACGATCCAAGAAAAATGTTGAAGTAGCTTTAGCCCAACTTGAGAATCAATTGGAAGAACTTCAGATCGCAAAGAGAAGTAAATTCATGTGCTTTTAATGTAATTGATTATAGAATATAATTAATAATAATAATATTTATTTATTTATTTATTTATTTATTTATTTATTTATTTATTTATTTATTTATTATTTATTTATTTACATTTATTTGTTTCATTAGATATTGTCTTTTATTATTTTTTTATTTTTATTTATTTTATTTGATTTTTGTAATAAGGAACAATCAAAATTTCGTTTATTTATTTTATTACTTTTTTAGACTTAGATTTTTTTTTGTAATTTTTAATTTTTTAATTTTTTTAAAGAACATCTTTCATTATTATTACTACTTAAATCAGATGTAAATATAAAATTAAATAAATATTATATTAATAATTTTAAATCATTATTTTTTATCAGGATTATCTATCTATAAATCTATTATTATTATTATTGTTACTATTATGATTATTATTATTAAAAACTCTATTCACCAGAAATTTATTTACAACTATAATAAAATAAAAGTAGAATTAAAAAGATTTAAAAAAAATTTCAAATTTATTCTACAATGTAAATAGTAATAAAGCTCGCCATCTTGTCTTAATATTGTTCTTTTTTAAGATGTTTATCATTATCGTGATGGTTAGGGTGTGAGTGTTTTGCTTGAGAGGGAGAGGTTAAATCAGCTATAAAAGCAATTAAAGCAATTGTTTGGTAATTATTGTGGTTATACCATAAAAAGTAAACAACCTAAGAAACAGCGAGTTTGGGGTATTCATACCAAATTAACCGCCAACCATATAAGAGTATTGGTTTTGGAGATAAAGGCGCACCGATGCTTCCGCTATATAAACCAATGACAGCTGATGAGATTCAGGAACTCTTCGATGTAATAGATGATCCCGTTATCGAAGAGAAGCGCTCAAGCTTCGATTCTCATACCCGATTGAAATAATTCAAGAAAATTCTAATTATGTTGTGAAGTAGTCCGCATGGAAAAAAATATTTATTGGCTTATATGATAATTTTACCTATCACTGTTCGGATTTTTTTGTCGTTCTATAAGAGTATCCAAAAAATTTTAAATTTAAAATAATAGAGCTCAGAGTCGAAGACTCATCTTACACAATGTTTAGCTTTGCCAATTGATTGGATTGAGATACTTTGCGTCGAGACAAATCTCAGTTTTTTTGTTTTCACGCCAGACATGCTTATAAGTTTCACTATGTATTCTACAGAGAATTAGTTAGCTTGTCACAAACGGAACATAATTTTTTAGGACGTGATCTAAAATGTCTGGAGCACCCTGTGCTATGCCAGCATCCTTTCACACATATCGTTCCATCACTCTTGATATATTGGCAGGATAGACGATGTTCCATGTGAGGTAATCTTGATATTATTGTGTGTTAAACTTTCCTTTCACTTTTTATTACAGGGAAATCGGATAAACATTTAAAAATGCGAAATATGCAGAGCATCTGACTCATATATTTCAAGACCACTTAACTGAATGTCTACTCGGATCTCTCATTTGGGGCAGTCATGTTTCCTGAGATCTAGAGCATTGTGTAGTCCGCGAAGCATTATCGAAGGGGCGGGTAATTAATTTCAATTTGAAAGAACAAGTATGTCAATATATTATTAATACGACCATGGCAACTGCCTCAATATTGGAAAAAGTATCATGCTTGTTTTACACGAAAAACACCAACTTTATAATAAAAATGATTTTTATGCATCTAGTATGATACATTCATTCATTATTGACGTCAACGATTATAAAAAGGATACTTGCAATGGTGTTCTTACTGCCTGCACAAAGGTGATTGGTTGGTTGGTTGCAAATGATCCATTCGTTCGCAGTGCTTATATTTACTGCAAGTGAAGTTGAATATACAGTGTGTCTCAGTCTAGCGAACCTTGATTTCACGGATAAAATTTCCACATTATTATTATTACTATTATTATTATTATTTTATCCTAAAGATAGTTCATTGCTATTTTTGATTAAGCATGCGATTAATATTAGTGATCTTAAAAAAATTGATTTTACAGTTTAATCTCAAGAATAAAAACTTACAAGTATAGAAGCTATAAATGGTTCGGAAAACGCATTTAAAAGCAAAACTAAAACCAAATATTGTGAACGGCATTTTTTTTTTTTGATTTGATAAAAAAAGTAACCATACTTTTCACAGAAAAGGGCAATCTATAAAATTCTTCATTACTACTACGTAATAAACTTTCTTCAGAAGCTTACCATTATTTATATCATTTTTTTTTTCTTTAAAGATTTGAATAATAATATCGTTAGTAATTTGTGCCTTTGAAAATTCTCGTGGTTATTATAATTATTGTTTCGTGATATTAAGATCAATATAAATATATCATTTGTGTCTTTACGCATTTGATATTTGTTATATTTCAGGTGTGAAATATTCACTTTTTTTTTAATTAATAATAAAAATCTCAATCTATACACATATATATATATTATATAATTTTAAAATAAATAAATAAAATAAACAAAATAAACAAATTAAATATTACTATTAATTACTATTCTAATTTTTTTTTGTATATTTTTAATTATAATTAATATACATCTATTTTAATTAAAATTAATGTTATTAATAATATTATTGTTATATTATATAATTGATTTAATTTACAAAAACGGTATGAATATTTTCAAAATCTGAAGGTGTTTTGAGTTTAATATTATGAATTATAGAAGATTTATAATCGCCGTTATTATCACTATGCTTATTATTATTGTCTAATTGTGGCACTCTAATACGTCCAATAAATGGTGGTTTTGTTGAAATAGCAGTTCCCTAAAAATAACAATATTTATGATAATTTAACAATTTGTAATTTGTGTAATTTTTCTTATTAAATTTTTAATGTTATCATTACTACTAACCTTTGGAGGTTTTTGGAAATGAGTGTTTCTGCCAAGTTGATGAAGTTTTGATTTTAATTCATTTGTTCGTTGTTGCAATGTGTGTAGCACTGTTTGCTGTGCTTGATATTGATAATCTGGTTTTTTATTTAAAGGCATCCATTGTTTGCGATTCTTATATACTTTTGTTAAATCTACAACACGGGGTGATGCACTAACAGTTCGGAAATCCTATATTATATATGTAATATATAAGTTAACTTTCCTTTTTTTTTAAAAAAAAAAATTAAAAAAAAACCTTACTTTAAGTAATGATTTGGCTTCCGTCGATACAGATTTAAGTAACTTATCGTTATTATTTGGATTTTTCAAGTGTTTCTTGGAATCAAGATGCCAATATAAAACATTTAATGCATCTTTGCCTTTCAAATGAGCATTTTCTGCACGAAGATATCTAACAGCAAATTTTAAAGATTCAATCTAAAACAACATTAATAGTAATAAGATTAGTAATTTTAAAAAAAAAAAATAATTTTTATAAATGTGTATGTTTGCATACCTGGTTAGCAAATCTTTGAATTTCAAGTGGATCAGTTTCAGTAAATCCATTGGAATAGTCGTCATGTTCATCTTTTTTGTATTGCGGTGGAGGAGATCCTATTCCACTTTCGCCAATTTTCAATGCAACATCTTTAAATTGTTTATTTTCATTCTCCAAACCTTCAAGTTCTTGTTGTAAACTTTCCATAGCTTCTTCAAAAGCATTCTCATGTTTTCTTGAATTTGCAAGTTCTTCTTCTAATGAAACAACCATCTCAGCTTGTTTCTTATATGTATCCATACGTTTCTCCAATAAATCAATTTTTACTCCATTTTCTTGTAAAGCTTGATCCTAATTGTAAAAAACATTTTATTTATGATTTAAAAAATTGGTTTTCAAAATAAAATAAAAATAAAAAATGAATTGTCTAATTTATGTCAATACCTTCAGTTTGACTTCCTTTCTCAATTCACGAATTTCTTCCCCTGACTGTTGTAATTTACGTTCCATATCAACGTTTACAAGAACTTCTGCCTTTATCTGTTTAGATCTAACAACCCAAGGCGTTTCTGTCTTGACAACTATAAAAAAATAGATAGTAATAAATAAATGATTATAATCATAATAAAATATATGTGTGGATAAGTAAGTAAATACTTACCGTTAACAACATTGTCAATGTCACTAGCAACATTGCTTAAATTATTTATTTCTTGACATAATGTTTGTAATGATTTAGTACATCCTTCCCATATACTCAATTCATTAATGCTTAATATGTCCTCTGTAAGTTGATATATGATTTTATGTAAATTAACAAGTGACAATTCTTCTTTGGTATCTTTTACTTTATTAATATATTCCAAAATGCCTTTATTAACCTGAATAAAAAGATTAAGATTAATTTAGATATAAAAAAATGATGAAAATCATTAACTTAAATTCCAAATTTACACGTACTTCTTGACAGAAATTGGTTAATTTTGAACAGATTGAAGAGCACATTTTGAATTGTGGTAAGAATTCTGATCTTAAAGTTGATGATTGACCAATTAAATCGTCTAATCGACGAAGTAGTTTGTTAACCATGACTTTACTACTTCTTGCTTGTGATACTATGGATTGCAATGGCTGGAAGAATTCATCATTAAATGATTCAAATGAATCTGCCACTTGAATTTCTAAATTAGATAAATAATCAGCGAGAGTAAATATGATAATGAATACACACATATATTCCAATTTTTCCTATGACTTTATATAATCTAACTTACCTTCATCTTTACATGCGATAACCACTGCTTGTTTTAGGTGTCCAAGGGTTACTGCAATTGTATCAGCATTCATTTCTAATGCGTGGCCATAAGCATAAAATTTATCAGGGTCGTCATGTTTCGTATTCAAAAGATAAATTTCTGCTAAATGTTCAAGTTGAGCAATAGATCTATTTGAAAAAAAGAGTTAGAGAAATGGGACAAATCATTAAATCAATAAACAATATTCAATATTATTGTTATTATATTAGCTTACCTTTGAACATCAATGACATATTCAGATTCTTTGAGATCCTCCTTTCTTAACAAATCTACTATATGATGAAGTCTATAATGATAATAATAGTAATAATATATAATCAAATAGCACACAACATATGTATTAGATACTTATATTAAAAGTTATATAAAGATGTTTCAATTAATATGATTCAATCATCACCTTTTCTCGGTTCCAATTAATTCATGATAAACTTGACCCATTTTAACAAAGGTTTCAACAGGGCAATTACTCATAAATGATACGAATCTTTTTCCTAAATCAGAAAACCATGCCAATTTTTGTTTTAACTTTATATCATAAATAACGATAATAATAATAAATTAACAAAATTAGCTATTAAATTATCTAAATAATACCACTAATAAATTAAATTTTTTAAATCAAAGCTCCAATTACTTACTACACAAACTGAAATTAATTCTTCTGGAACAACAGTATTTAATTTTTCTGTAACATTATGAACTTGATCCATTTGTTTGATAATTAAATCTGATTTAAATACAAGTCTTTTCCATAAAAGTAAACAGCGAATTGAATCATTATCTGTTTGGAAGAAATTATCTGGAAGATAAGGCTAATTAGAAGAAAAGGCAATATTTAATATTAATTTTTTTTTTAAAAATATTTTTAAAGGAACTAAATATTAGTAACATTAAGTAATATATTACCTGTACAAAAGCCAAGTTTTCTAGTGCTTGCGCGGCATCCAATTTTCTCAATTCCAAATCAATTTGTTTTGCTTGTGCTTTCAAAACTGTAGACTGTAATTGGAAATTCAAATTTAACATGGCTCTAGATTGACTACTAAGATTCTTTGACTCGGAATATTGGCTTTCTTCTTTTTGACGTAATTGTTCCAAATCACTAAATTTAAGTTTGTGATTCAAAAAAAAATTTTTATTTTTTAAATCAACATGTTATATATATATATATATAAAATCAAAATATTATAATTATAAACCGACCTTTGTAAATTGCATACAAGTTCACGGAATTGATTAATAGTATTCTCATAATCCGCATTGGCTTCATCAGCTATTTCAAGACGTTTAACATATTCACGAACTAACATGTCTTTATGATCTATAAAAAATTTTTTAAAAAAATCAATCAAGTTTATATTATCCTTTGGGAACATATATTAAATATTATAAATCTTTTTTTCAGTACCTATTTCAGCTTGCATTTGTTTTTCATTTTCCATATGGTTTTCTTCAAGTTCATCATTTAATTCTTTCAAGGCCTCAAGATCTTCTATTGTTGCTCTCATTTCTTCAATTTTCTAATAATATTAATATTAATAATAAATAAATAAATGAATAAAATTTTCACTATATTGTAAATAGTGATGATAAAGTTATATTCTTTATTACTTCGCCTTGAGCCAAATCCTTTTCGGCCAGTGCTTCAAGCATTTCGTCAGCATGTACTGCATCATCTAAACGATCTTTCAAATCTTCAACTTGACTTTCAGCTAACTCTAGTTTCTGTTTTAGCTGTTCAGAATGTGCTATGTAATTTAAATAATAATTTTTCGATATTAATATTTATACTAAGATAATAATAAGTATATAATTAATCAATTAACCTTGTAATTCATGATAATTTGCTAATTCTTTTTCTAAAAATTTGATTTTTTTATTTAAATCTGCTTCTTGTTCACCTGCCATATCTCGGAGTCTATTATTAATAAAATAAAAATTACAATATAATATAATTTTGTTATTATCGTCAAACAATCAAAAGGGAATAAATATTAGACACAGTGAATTAATTACTTGACAAGAGCTTCTTTTAATCTTGCATTATGCCTCTCTAATTGTATAGTTTCTAGTGTTGTTCTTCCTTCACCATCAATTTGATTGATCATATCTAGTGTAAAAACATAACGTCGATGATAATTATATATATTATCGTAACATAAATTTGAAATTTAAAAATAAGTGATGATAACTTACCACCTTCTTGTTTGAAAACATTCAAGTCAACACTAATTTCTTCAATTTTTTCTTTTAATAAATTGACTTCATGTTGTAAATTTTCTGCCTTTTCTTCCGCCATCTCTTTATCAAGAGTCATTATCTCCATAGATTCCATTGATTCAGTGAACTTGTTTTCAAATAAGTCTTTTTCGGCTGTGATATCTTTCAATTGTTTTCTCAGCTCACGTAATTCTTGTTGCATTTCAGTCATTTTAGCTAATGTTTTGGATTAACGGATTTAATTATGAAAGATGACTTTAATTTAGAAGGAAATTGTAGTTCATTTGTTAATGATTATAAAGATTCCATCACCGATTTAAATAATTTCGCTGTTGAAGAATATGAAGTTTTTCAATTCATTGCTAAAAATAATAATAGTAATAATAATAATAAATCTATTTAATTGTTTATAATAATAAACATCTGGTTTTTTTTATATATACAAATTAAAAGTATTTGATTAAATATGTACACAAATTTTATAAAAAAATTAAATCATTTATTGTAGAGACTTTATTAAATCATGAGAGAAAACTGTGGCTTGATTTGGTAAATTGTATTCAGCAAATGCTACTGAATTATGATATATTTGGTTCCATCCATCAACTGGTGTTTTTATTGTTCTAAGCATGTCTCCACCATGATTCAACTTGCCATAAATTATGGAATTATCAAGGATTGTAAATCT